CGGCTATCCTGTTTACAAGTTACAGTCAACAACGATTCTCTTTCACTTACTGTCACTCTGTTTCATCCATCAACCCCTTCCTCTTATAACTCACTCTCAAATTACCACCAACCATTGCCTATAACTGCAGCCAATCACACTACAAATGATCCCTCAAACTCTACTCTATATTCCTATTCCTCCTATCTTCTCTTTGAAATTGCCAAATCACAAGTTTAGACATCGAGGGATCAGATTTAATGGTTGAAGTAAAATCTGATTTCATGATCAAACTAAAAGGAGAAGAAGAGGCACACAATAATAATGCAATCATTGGCCAAAAGAGGAAGAGGGATTGAAATTGATAAATTTGCTAATTTGTCTATCATCCATCCAAAAAGCTTTTTAAGGTGTTAATAAGTATATTTATATTTCTGTTTATACTTTACAATTGTTGATTGTGGTTTCGCTATGGAGATAGAGTTTCTTCTCTATATTTAAGACATTAACATGTTTGGAGATTTGATGGTAGGCTCGATTAGTGTGTTTTGAGAAGGTGTGGGGCATTGGGTTTGAAGTTTGAGGTGTGATTAGTTGTAAATAGAATTTTGGTTTTTGGCAAAATGAATTTCTTGAAGACCTCTATAGTTGTAATGATGTCTTTCCTTCTCTTAAACTTGATTAATCCTATCCATGCCTAAATCTTCCCTAAAGATTTTCTTCAAGGCCATAATGTGGCTCATGTAGTAGGAGTTGGGCTACTTATATGGAACCGAACCATGGCATCCTATGTTGAAAATTATACAAACACAAGAGCGGTTGATTGTGAGTTTGACCATTCCATGGAACCATATGGTAAGAATATTTCTAAAGGATGGAACGAATCTTCAGAATTGAATGCATGTTTTGGGAGAAGCAATTTTATGACTATGATGATGGAATTGCTTGGATTTAGAATTTGGAATTAGACTATTTGTTAGGCTAGTTTGTTAGTATAGTGGGTTTGGTTGAGATATGGAAGAAAGTAATTGGCAAAATAATTTTTGTACAAAAAGGGTAGTTTAGGATTTTTGAGAAAAATATAGTTTTTTGGGCCTATATTGTTATATAAACAGTAAAAGCAAGGGAGGTAGGTGTAATTTAATAAAATGGGCAAATTACATTTTACCCCCTTGTGGTTTTGGCAAAAACCACATAACCCCCCTATGATTGTAAAAGCTATACATAAACCCTCTGTAATTTGGGTTAAAGTGTCAAATAAACGGAAAACATACATCGTGACGATTCGTGTCTTACACGCGCTTGTACTACTGGTAACAGTAAGAAACGTTCCCATATTACCCTTGACCACTTTAACGGATCCAATAAAGCCTAGATCTGTGCTCCTTATCTCTTTCAATGACGGCAATGGATATGGCTCTGTTGATGGTAATGGTGGTGGTTATGGGGCTGGAAGCGGAGGCAGCAATGACGGCAGTGGATTTGGCTCTGTAGGTGGTAATGGTGGTGGGTCGGATCGGGTGGAGGTGGTGGTCCAGGCAGTAAATATGGTCAAAATGGCGGCGGTAATGGTGATGGATGGAATGGTGGTAGCTATGGTCCTGGTGCAAGCAGCAGGCAAGGGAGTTGGGACAGCAGCTATGGCTACGGCAGGGGCTGGTGCAGGGGCCCTGGCTTAAGATATGGCAGCAGTAGTACTGGTCATGGCAGCGAAGGTAACAATGGAGAAGGGCAGTATGGAATCACTGGTGGGGGCCTAGACAGGGACAATCAGCAGCTCCCATACAGCATGAAACCATGACTAGAGCTCTTGTTTCAGAAATGGCTTTTTTTGGTAGTTGACCAACGGAAAAGCATGGGAGAAAGAAAGATGCAGAAACCGGAATCCTATCTCTTGAAGAGAGGTGCAGAAAGCTCTCCCTTTGACTCTGGTGGGCCTTCCACCACTTTGACTGTTGCGGACGCGGTTCCTCTCGTTGTGAAGAAAGAAGTAATGAAAGGAAAGGGAAGCCCCGGCCGTGTTCGTTGTTGCCTTTTTTGTATTTATATTAGGGTAATTTGGACATTTCGCCCACAAATCGTTACGATAGGTAGTTTCCGTCTATTTGACACTTCAACCCAAACCACAGAGGATTTATGTATAGCTTTTAAAATCATGAGCGGGTTACGTGGTTTTTGCGAAAACCACAAGAGGGTAAAATGTAATTTACCCTAATAAAATTGATAGGAGATCTCTACAATTGTCAGAAACCTTAGGGGAGGTTTTTGAAATTATCCCAGAATTTTAAGTTAAAAACAAGTCCAAGATATCAGTCAAAAACAAGCCTTTAGTGGTCGAAGTACAAACAAGCCCCAAATTCAGAGAGCGGGCAAAGTTTAAACCTCCTTATATTGTGTAATTGTCAATTTTTTGTAATTGGTTTATTTAGTTTTTCTTATTGTAACCATGTTTCATAAAAAAAAAATTTGTAACCATGTTTCATCAATATTTTTTAAAGAGCATTTTCTATTGCGTTTTTCGTGCAATTGATATGAACGGATACCCATGGTTCAACCTTGTCCTACGAGATACCCGTCAACAAGTAGCTGTTGATGGAAGGAGCAACTTAGATCCACAAACGTAGGCTATGGATCTTTTGTTATACACTAATGTATAACATTCATATTACACAATTTTATATGTTGACACGTGTTCTTTTCAAAAGTTAAATCTAATTAAAAATATTATTATGATAGTTTAAGAAGTATAGGTATCAATACATTAGAATGTGTAACATAGAAGTTATACCCTAATGCGTAACAGGAGATCCATTGTCATAAATATAGGTTAGGTTGGATCAACCAAATCCTTTAAAGTATCCTTTAAAGTAAGAGCACCCGACCTGCACGATCCTTAGAAATACATTTATAAGAACAATAAAGTTGCACATTAAAAAAATTTAATAAAATGAAGTTGCACATATGTTGTAGGTTTATATGTATACTGCTTTTGCACACAAAAGTTCCCATCAATTTTCCTAAAAAAATAATGATTCAGCCTCTAAATCGTGAATTAAATTCTTGGACGGCGTGCCTAAAAACTACTAGTGTTATCAGAATATGCAAATTTCTCCAAGACACCTAGTATCATATCCTATGTCTGGTAGCTTGTCAGAAATGTTATGCTTATTAATTCGCTGTCAAATGACAACCATTGGATTCGCCGTGCATCTAACGTGCTAGGTCTGGTTGGGGCGCTAGACCGGGCCGGAGTGGGGATTAGTCGGGCCGCCTTTACGGACTTGACCCGAACACCCCACTCCGTCGACAAAAAAAAAAAAAAAAAAAGACAACCATTGGAGCCAAGAAACATAAGATGCTTGTCAAGATTCGCACTGCATAAACGTCACATGGAACGTGAATTAAAAGTGTAACTATTGCAGGTGGACAGAAATGAAATTTAAATGAGATACATTCATAGGTGGTGCAGGTAAACAAAATAATTAATGGTAGCCAGTCATCGAATGTGGATATAAAATAGTACTAGCTTGAATATTAAACTTCTTTCAAGGGTGTTTTTTTTTTTTTTAACATACTTCTTTCAAGGTTATGGTATCGAACTAACCATCCTATCAAATGAAGTTTTCTCCTTTCACAGGTAGATCCCCCAAGGAAGTTCATTTGTTCATGGGGAGGGGTTTCACTGGGTGAAATACGCAAGGATAGACCAATTAATCTGTTGAATGATTGCCTTCCTCTGGCCAAAAATAAGAGTGATTTGCTTTTCAACCTTTAAGTTGATTTTGGACCTTCTCAGGATAAAATTGAAATGATCTTTGGATGATCTCGAATTAAAGAAAGGAAATTCCAGATACTTGCCAAGGTATTTGGGGGAGAAGAGAATTCTGGGGATTTATCTACATTGATCGTGAGGCCAGACCCATAGCTAAAGTCATTATGAGCTTGATAGACTGAATGGATTTTCTATCAGCAAAGTTGAATGTACACACTTTTCTATCAATGGAAAAGGTCTAAATAATTACAGTTATCAAATTCTGTTTAATTTTGTAATAAATTATTATTTAGCTTGACTTGTTTACAACAGTTTACCATAATTATCTTTACTTTCTCCTTGGTAAATGCGGTGTAGATACATCTTCGTGATTTTGTTGATTTCAAGTCCATCTTGAAGCTTTTTTTTTTTGGGCGGGCGGGGGGAGCTTCAGGAATAAACTAATTGCTACTTTCTCTTCTTATTCTATCTCCATCATTTCTTTCTGACAACGCCAAGTCTTTAGAATCTTCACTTATCGATTAGCTTTGGGTACCAGATGACCCCCGACGGACCAGCCTAATACTTCTTGCTACAAGTATCTTTACAATTCTATGGTGCTTTTGTGGTCGGCTCCCTTCGTCCTAATGCTCCCAAAAAAAAAAAAAAAAAATCCCTTCGGCCTAATATAATAGGCATTTTTTAGAACCCAACTTTGTATACAAACAAGCAATTATTGTGGTTAGATAAGGTTGCTGTAGGCGAATTTGCAATATAAATCTCAGATTCAAATTTTGGGATATATTGGCGTTCGTAAAACTTACTTTTCAATGCTACAATAGGTGGGATAGCAATATTTAGCGTTTACTTTCAAAACGCATCTCTTATGTTGAGATACCAAATTAAGAAGTAAAAACTGGCATTAGCAAAGAGATAAATAGAGGATAAAAACCACAACTATAGCGAAAACACGAGAAAACCAACAAATTACATAGTTTTAACTATCCAGCCGATGTATTTAAAAACTAAGAGCAAAACTTCTAGAGTCAATTTTTCAAGCTTGTATCTTTGAATACATTTCTACAAGTTTGTAGTACAACATTGTTCTACAAATTCAAATACCATTTATGTGCTTAATATTTAAGAAAAAAAAAAAGTATTCATAAACTAGCACCAAGGTCGCGCTCATGGCGCGGGGTTTGCCCCTAGTAGTACATACATAAAAAAATTCCTAGATTCCTGGATCTTCTCAGTTAGCACATGTTAGTAGTCAGCAAATTATAAAATATATTGCATTAGGCTTAAAATGTGAAAAGAATTAATTCCATGGAATGGAGCACATACAATATTAATTTTACACGCACAGCTGTCGTGAAAATACACAAAAGCTATCAACATGGTTGCCCAAGATCTCAAGAAATCTCCTTTTTTTGACCCCAAGAAATCACCTTTTTTTAAATCCCATTAGGAATCTCAAAAAATCTCTAAACAAGTCAAAAAGTAGGAGTAGACAACCAGTTCGCAAAGTAAATGCATTTGATTATTCAAGTAGTTAAGGGCTCACGTCCTTCATTTCTTGAATCATCGTACTGCTCTAATAATGGAGCATTTGCGCTTGAGGATGCCACAAACTTCCCTTCAGGTGATCTCTCTCCATTAACTTCTTGAGCTTTTGCCCATATCAACATGTAAAACCCAAAAGATATGATCAAGGATCCGATCAAGCTGCAATTTGAGTAAATATTATTCCAAAATAGTTGATATGAAACCTTAAACATATGATAAGTATGTATGTATAGGTGGAGATGGGATTTTGTATATATGACTGTATTCGCTGGATATATTTATTTAAGATTTAATGTACACTTAAATACCTTGTTGATCTCATACGTTGAGTTAGTACAAATGAACAAGGCCATATTAGTATACATCAAATAATATTTTAAGTACAGTAACCGTATAATCGTAACAAATTCCATGCATACTTACACTGAGTGCATAAGTAAGTAATATGTTTTTCTTGATCGTATTCAACAGATACGTACCTTCCAATGTAGAAGTTATCGCCAAGAAAAATGAATCCCATCACTGCAGCAATGGCTATCGATAACGGCCTAAATAAAGCTACATATACAGGTCCCTTTACATGTAAGCACCGGGTCTGAACAAGAATTCCGAAGCCTGATCCCATTACACCCTAGAAAAATAAAAATTATTGAGTGAATCAACTATATTTGAATTGCATTCTAACTAGCTATATGGACAGTTGATTGTGAATTTGATTAGCAAGCTGCTTATATTCTAGTCTGGAATTCTAGTGAAATAAATTAGGTGTACGTGCTTACTGCATACACCACTGAGTACAACCGCACGTCAGGTTTCAGTATATTCCATGCACTTGAATTTGGTACCCCGATTAAACAAACCGGTATTGCCAGGATCGCGCATGATAGGTTGTAGAAGAAAACCACAACTAGTTCTGCCGGGTAATCCACGATAGCGTTGGTCTGAAAATAGTGGAGTGAAGATCCTAAAGTTAGGAAGAGTAAGTACAAAACTAAGGCAATAATTCCAAATATAATATATAGGTCTAATAAAAAACAGCATGGCAGTTACATCCATTTTTACAATATGGTAAAGAGTCTTAGGATATTAACAGTGTCGTAGCAACCATACAACTAAGTGTTTTCAACAATATATAATGCAGTACTAGCCAATGAGTTTCCAAATGAAGCCTATATATTCATTCTTATGCAGGAAAAGTCTTGAAAATTAGTATTTTTATTTCATTTTATTTTTTTGGTCTAATGAGAGACTCCAACTCTTACAAGGGGAAGGAAAAAATGCAAGTGTTTGAAAGTGAAATGAGTTATCTCGTGGTTACTTGGCTAACGTCCCTAACAATTAAATTGAGTCTCGAGGACTTCTCATTTTGTTTCATGTGGTACTTTTTTTTTCTTGTCGTTCTAATACCACCTTTAAAAGTAGGGGACAATTGCAAAGGCTTCAAGAATTTACGGGGGCAATGGTGAAGGAAAAAAGAAGTTTCAGAAATTCAAGGGGGTGCAATTGTTGAACAAAATTAATAAATTTCAAAGTTTTAAAAGACAAATTTTGACACGGCCCTAAAGATGGCTCAGCTTGAGATCGCAGTTGCTTGAATCCTATAAAACCTTTTTTTCCTTTCTCTTATTTTTTTCATCTCGGTTTCTCCAAACCATTGTCGAAATTTGATAGTCTAACGGCAAATTCAGACACCATTCGTAGTTTTCTACAATCCTTTACCTGATAGATATACCAAACGGAGGCTATCATATAGTCGGCAGCGAGAAGCGCACCACCTTTGATCCAATCCGATTGCTCAGCCCCAGTGGTGACATTGACCAGTGCTGGCTGTTGTGCAAAAACAGAAGCTGAAGATGTAGGGCTCCTCATCTGAACAGGGCCTTTGTACAGAACCACCACTAGGGCTCCTGCAATCGTTATTACACTCCCCATTACCTTAACTTGGCTGCTCAAGCTTTTGACTTTTAGCTTTTCCATCCTGTTCATGACATGCACTATTGGTCTAGTTCATCTATAATTTGTAAAACCAAAAGAAAGGAAAAAAAAAAGAGAGAGACATTGAAGCCTTGAGTTGCGTACTAAACCATATCATGTTATTCAACGAGCACTCGTTAGGTGTCACCTCAAATTTAGTCTTCGTTAGAGAATTGAAGTGAGGAGAATTAATAAGTTGAGCATGTGTTTCAAAAGGTAATTAGCTGTATGGCACTAGTTAGAAAAATCTATAACGGCGGATTAAATCATTTAGGACTTTAATGTCGGAAATCAGTTTTTATGTCCTGCTTGCTCCAAAGCAGGCATGATGAGTGTTGACAATAGTTAAGCCAAAAAAAAAAATAAATAAATAAAAAAGGACCTTAGGAGCACTGCCAGGATAAAAGTGCAAGCTGGGGTAAGGTTGGACATGGCAGAAGCCAGTGTTGGAGTACTGTACTCGATTCCTTTGCTTCCAAGAAATTGACCTAGAAAGCTGAAACAATATTGATTCCAAGGTAAAAGAATATAATCATGATTCATATCAGAGAGCTTGACATACATGTGTGTGTATCTGTATATACCCGAGAATCCCGAGGAAGAAAAATCTAGCAAGGAGACCAAAAGACAACGGAGGAAGCCGAGATTTCCTGTCAAGATTTGCAAATAAAAAAAAATGAATAAGTTTAAATATACAGGAAGAGGGAAATCAAGAAGGCTTGTAATTGAGATTACCTGTGGAAGAAGAAGCAAAGGGGGAGGAGGATAAGAGCTGAAAGCCCATTGGAATATAACATGAAGACACGATAATTCAAACCCTTCAAGGTGGCTGCTTTGAAGATGGTGCTCAAGCCAACACTGACACACTCGACCGTAACCATTGCCGTGAAAGGAAACACCTCTCCATAGCAGCATCTTTCTTTCCAGTTCGCCATCTTGTTTTCTTTCCTTCTCTGAAACATGAAAATACTACTTCTTCATGTATTTTGTGGTACAGCTCAGTTTCCCTCCGAGCACGCCGTACTTGAAACTGTAGAAAAATATAAATCAACCTAGTGTTAATTAATTTGTTAGGTTGTGGCCACGTGTCATTGATCTATTGATTAATACAATAAGTTGTATGGGTTACTAAAATTGGCCACATGGGATCCATCCTGTAATGTTAGTAGTAGTTGTAGGCATATTAGCACTACTACGTGGTGGGGTTCCTATCAGGGGTTGTGGATTGTATTTTTTTTTTTTTTGTGTATGTCTATGAATTATTTTTTTTTTGTTGTAGTTGTTCATTATAAATTTTATATAATTTAATGGAAGCAGTGTTGGTTTTTGTGTGATTTTGTGTTGAATTTTTATTAGTTTGGGGGCTATTTTTATGGTTTGGTTTGTCGGTTTGGTGTGCATTTAATTAAGTAGTGTATATTTGTTGGAAATTAATTTTTTTTTGTATTGTGTATTCAGCGTGAAGTTTGTAAAATATTTTGTTAGAGTTTTATTTGCTATTTTTTTCATTAAATGTAGTGGTAATTACAATGTATATAATATTTTTTTGTCTTGGTTATATGTAAATAGGCTTTTGGTTGCTTCGAGGATGTTACTGTTTATCTTGTGATAAACAAGGCGTTGTTTGTCTTTTGGATGGACTTGGCAGTGTTTGTTTTTGAGCTCTAGGTATGTGTGGTAGGTATCCGTAGTTGCAGCATCAAATGATTGATCAATGGAATTATTGGTCTCTCGTTTGTCTTGGTTTTGATTTGTAATTTTAATGGTTTTGTTTGTCTGTTTTGTTGAGTGTTTGTATTATATATTTAATGGCTTTTGTGATTGATATATAATATATTGTGAAGATAATATGATTATTGAAATTTGTGATTAACAATTAACATAATGTGATCTAAGTATGTGTATAGGTTTTTCATGAGCAAGTTCTAAATTCTTCAATGAGACTGGGAGTAAAGGTTTGTATACAGTAGCTGTTGTCGTCTAGAAGCGTAAATAATATTAAGTTTCCTTCTCGTAGAAAATGTTTGTCAGCAAATGTGGTGTGGTGACATGTGGTGTCAAATGTCCAAGTTTTTCTATCACATTTGCAGGTGATTGTGTCATCTCTGTTTACATGGAGGTGAGATACAATAGTTCCTGGGAGCATCTGTAAAAGAAAATTGATTTAGTTTGTATATTATATATTAGTGGGTACATAAGTGGGATGTGATATAGAATTTTGTTTTTACCAAGCATTCTAAATCTTGTAATGTAAGGATGATGTAAAAAGAGAATTGTGTCAGCAATTTTTCTTCATGAATGAATAACACTGTAAAAGGAGCAATATGGTTTGGTCAATTCAATTTGTATTGTAATAAATTTTAAATGTGTCATCTCTATGAAAATTCACAAAGAGAACATGGAATACTAACCCGAAGTGCTAGAATGTCGATTGCTTTTCAGGAGTATGTTCCACTCGTAATCAATAAGACAATTGTTTTTTCCATATATGCTTACTCCAAAGAGCATGCTGCCAATGTGAAAAAAGTGTAGCATTGATCCGTCTTCAAGCTGATGATCTTGTATGAATTTTGTCCAACCGGATAGGTTAAAGCTTGTATCAAGTTTGATGAACCAAGTGTGATTTCCATTGTGGAGAATCAGTGTTTGTCCAGCATCATCTACAGACTGGCAACAACTGTGGCGGTATTTTCTGCATAATGATTCGTACTGTTATTCATTGAGTTTATGATAATGGCAAAAATTGAGAAGAGAAGTATAAGTGTTAGGTTCATGAGTAAAAGGGTTATGTCTCACATTGGTCTAAGAGATGGAGAAAGAGCGGTTAATATGTAAGTAAGAGTCCAAGACCTAATGGCTTAAGATTTTGGGTCAGAATTGGGTTCCTAACTTACATTTGGACTCTTTGGTGGATTCTCTTGAGGTGTTTCCCTTATCAAATTGGTACTAGAACTTCAGGTTGCGAGACTGGACTACTCATAGGCAAGTAGATTCTTTTCGGAGTTGGACCGGTGAAAATTCACTTCTTGGTAGTAGACCGAAGTGCTAAGGAGTTTGATTAGTGTTGGACCAGGTACGCCATGAGTTTGGCAGGGGGTGCAGTTGGTGTAAGATGTAGCCAAGGGTTGGCAAAGGTCCAAAATTACTCATGAAGCGGGAGATTTGTTAGGTTCATGAGCAAAGGGTTATGTCACACATTGGTCCGAGAAATGAAAAAAGAGCGGTTAATATGTAAGTAAGGGTTCAAAACCTAATGGTTTAAACTTTTGGATCAGAATTGGGTTCCTCATTTACATATTGGGTTCTTTAATGGACTCTCTTGAGGTGTTTCCCCTTATCAATAAATGCATCACCAGTGTTTCTGGGTCTCTTTGTGTATACTCAATAAAAAATGACTTGCTTGATGAATCTAAGGATAAATAAATATGAAAGAAATGGTTTAAATTGAAGGGTATCAAACATTTTATATAAGTTTAGTATGTTAAAAGCGGTAAGAGCAGTAGAAAAGAAAGATAACTTAGTTACTATTGATTCTGCTGGGGGATATTGTGTTTAAGAGATTGAAGCCAATTTATTGCCTGGAATCGGTGCGTCCAATATTCAGGGTGTGGGTTGATGAGTCCTGGACCTAATAATCTTTTGAAAGCCACACTTATTTCATAGATGAATTGGTTGTTGTTTGTTGGAAAAGCTTGTAGTGCTTGTCCATTTGGTTTGAGAAGATAAAATAGAGAAGCAATGATTTGGTTTATCTTCTTCAATTGTGTCAACCATCCAATCCATAAAAATAGTATGGTTGATAGACATTTTGTTATTTGAAATGGGACTTTTGATAGGTATATTGGTAAGGGCTTGTAAAGTGGTGATTGTTATTTATAGCAGTTCTAGTGCTATCAATCTGAGTGTATGTTAGGTTGTCGATAGAATATTGCCATTTCACATATGATTTCACTGGCAATACATGTGTTTGTCTGTGTGTTTTTCTCTTGTATTGTCACAGGTGGTTGTTCTTTTTAATGGGAGGATCAGAAGAGAGGAATCTTTTTTTGGATGCTTAATAGAATAGGGTGTTTGTGATTATGCAATACTCTGATATATTTTATTAGATGGTTACGAGACTAACGTTTGTTAAATGGATAAAAAAGCTCCATTAGAAGAGCAGGGGGAGTGATTTTAGTAGAAGTAGCTAATATTTGTAGAAATACTAAGATAATTTGCAAGTAATATTAAGCTTTTGGTGATCGGAAACATAGATATAGAGGTGAGAATCACATAAGTTCTAGTTTATCACCAAAATAACAAAAGAAGCTTGTTGTTTGAAGCAAAAGTAATGCATGTCTAGCTAGTGTTTTTGCAGTGATGATTTGTAGAATTTGTCATTTTTTCCTTTGACTGTGAAGCTCAGTCAAGCTTTGGATGCTTTGCTGTTTTTGTTAGTTCTTCTTCAAGACTTCGTTCTACCGAAAATGAGGGACCTTTGTGGCTACCTTGATCTACTGACATAACAGATAAGGTTGATATTGGAGTGAGAGTAGGGGAAACTCGTCCAATGGAAGCTGTGCTTTCTGTGGTGCTATTTTTCAGAAAAGATGGCGGAATTGCAATGAACTCCGATTGTTGTGCTTCAGCAATTTGATGAGTTTTTGGATGTTGTGCGAGCTCTTCTGGGATGAAGGCTATGAGGAAAAAAAGTGGGAGAAGATGCTTTTGAGAGGGAAGATATGATCTCATCTCACAGAAGAAGTTTTGATTTTGCAGTTTTTCATTAATTCTGCTGAAAAGCAGCGATTCTCCGTGTAAGGGGATAACTTGTGTTAGTGATTTTGCTAGACAATGTTGATTGAAATTGTATTTGTTTGTATAATTATATCAAAGTTGATGTACCTGTAGATACTTTTCATATATTTCAGTGGCGATGAAATCAAGGAGGGCCTCAGCATTTACATTGTCTACTGTTGCATCGATGAAACTAGTGCCATCATAAACCTGTACCTGGAATTTAGCTCTGCAGCACAGATGATTATTAGTATATGAGATAGATTATATGAAAGGTATAATAAAGAATTTTAAGAAAAAAATCAAGTTACTTTGATTTTGGTTTTGTATTTTTGAGTCCACAGAAATTGCAATCAAATTCCATATCTATTGGAGCACCAGTGATTTTGTTGCAGCTAGTACATGTCGGGGAGAAAAATCACTGATTGCAATTGATGATTCTAATATTTCCTTTGACCTAACAGTTCTTTATCTAATTCAAACAAATTTATATAGATATTAGTATAACTGAGTCAGCAATATTATAAGAACAATAAGATATGGAGTTGATAATGGAGGGTATTAGTGGATATATGTCCATGGTTTATCGGATTTGATGATGCAAGAATTTGTGCAATCAAGCGAATTTCAGCGTTGAGTGGTGCAACAGTTTTCTGTTTATTTTTCTCATAGAGTCTTTCATTGATAACTCTGTGAATGTAGGAAATGTTCTCTTGGCGAATTTCACCGGCATTTGAGTTTCTGCTAAGCGAATTTCACCGGCTGAACAACAGAATCTCGGTGGTTTACTCGGTTGAAGTGGTAGTCGTTCCAATATTGGTATGTTTCTTCTTGGGCGACGTGGACCTATAGAATATGAAATGCCGGTGCTTTTAACTGATAGAAAGAACAAAAAAAGTGTAAAGAATCCAAGACGCGCACGCACGCACACACACACACATATGTATATATAAACTTATAGTATCCAGCTACCAGTTGGATGCTGCAAATTGCTGGTTCATAGACAGCTTTGAGATAGAACAGCTGCTAGTAGAGGATAGCGAGATCACAGAAGAAATCGCAATAGAGAAGAATGGATTCAAAAGAGAACGAAACTAATGGCTGTTAACATATAACAAGAGGAGAGAAAAGTATAGTTGATAAAATAATTAGTAAGCCTACTTAAATCTACAGCTGAAGAATGGTGTAGGATATTTGTTTGAAAAGTTGTTGAAGGAAAGATGTTG